GATGCAGACTCCTTTCGGCACGACGATCGATCCGTCGTCCGAACTTGCTCTTCGAATCCGTCCTCGGATCCTTCACTCATTGCTGTCGTTCGTTCGACAGGCTTCTTCTGTTGCTGTCGATGCTTCGACAGGCTTGGTCTCTATCGATCCTCGCGCTTCGACGTTCGGCGTCGGCCGATACTCGCTCCTCTTCGCGTCGCGATCTTCCTGCTACCGTTGACTCTGTTGCTTCGATAGGCTCCTCTTCTCTGCTTCGCTCTTCGCTTCGATAGTAGACCGCTTTTTCAGTAGTATGTTAGTTGCTCTAAGCTCTCTTAGTTGTTACTGTTGTCTATTGAGATACTACTGAAAAAGTGGGTGGGTTACCAGCTTTTGCTACTGGCATCAAATTCTAGTACAGAGGTACAGGTTGAATCCCTAATCGCGAATCCCCAACAACCAGTACTGATACTTTCTACAGCATCACATTTTGCAATGACGCTCGTGCTGACTACTGGCACCATGACAAATCAGCCCACAAATCCCCACTTCCCAATCAAGTTTGCACAACACTTGCAAAGCTCGGAAATCGTCCCATGATTCGATGGGCCCGAGACAAGGGATATCCATGGGATTCTTCAGTCTGCGCTGATGTTGCCCGAAATGGCAATTTGGAATTGCTGCGGCTGGTTCGAGATTATGGCTGTCCATGGGGAGCATCTACTACTGCTATGGCTGCCCAAGGAGGCCATATTGCCTGCATGTTATGGGCCCATAGCCAAGGTTGCCCAATGGATGAAACGGCATGTGCGATGGCCGCTGCTGGTGGGCAAGTGGAGGTTCTCGTTTTCTTGTATTCCGGTGGCTTTCCTTGGGATGAAACAACCTGTACCATGGCCGCCAGATATGGACATTTTCTCGAACTAGTAGAGAGTATGCCCATGATCAAGGTTGTCCATGGGGTGCAGCAACATGTGCTGCTGCTGCCGAAGGAGGCTATTTGGAAATCCTACAATATGCCCATGAGGAGGGCTGTCCATTGGATGAACGAACATGTGCTATGGCTGCTTCTTGTGGACACTTGCGTGTTTTGCAGTGGGATAGAGCCCATGGATGCCCTTGGGACAAGACAACTCTTCAGATGGCCGAAGACAGTGGACATTTGGAAGTGGTACAATGGGCCCGTGACAATGGTTGCCAGTAATACTAGCCTGGTTTGTTTGATATCCTCGCTGCAGAATTCAGAATTCAGAATCCTCAGGTCGTCCGTAGAAATTAAAAATAAGCCATGAGCTTGCATTGGGAAGCTGTAACGGATAGCCATCATGTCTTTCAAATCGAATGGAACGTTACCTGTACGAGTACTTGACAATCTAGACAATCTAGACAAACGAAGTTAACAATTGATTATCACGCACCGGTCATGACAAGGGTACACACTCGCTAGCACAAGAGGGGGGAAATTCACGTTGGCCGAAGGGATGGAAGACAACATGGTGCCATTCTTGATCGCAGAAATTGTGGTGTGCATAGAAAGGGCGTGCGTAAGCAAGAAGCCTGTCAAGCAACATTGATCCAGCGGTGTTGGTCAAGAGTGGTAAGGCCTTGATCGAACAATGAAGGACCGAGCCATCCGCACTTTTGCCGACCAAATCACCGGAGAAGATCATACCTGTCTTGAGACTAGCAATCTCGGATCCTTTGTCCGTCTCCCCCGATAAGTTGGCCATTCGCGTTGTGAGGATTGTGGCTGGGTTTGTTGAGTCATGAGTATCCGGGACTGAAATTCGAAATCGACTGGACCACCAAAGCGATTCCTCACTTTTCTTTTTAGACTGACTTTAAAATAGCTCACCATGGCCAAACAGTCTCTCTAGTGTTTAATCAACATCTAAAAAGAAAAGGCTGTTTACACAGTTACTACTACTATAATACAAGCCTTCAGGTGCTCTTGAGGAGCGAAGGAACAAGCCGAATCGGAGCTCTGAAGCCCTCGAACGGCGAAGAAGTAGACAACAGTGACATACGGCGATCGGCAACCTTCACCGGTCCGAATCTCGCCAATCCGACCGTCTACAGATAAGCCAAGGGTACCACTACGACTGCAGGAGTGAGTACAGTAAGGCTTCCTACTTGAATAACAAAGAAAAGCCTCAGGTGTTACCATCGAACGGCTTGAAAAGCACCATTGTCGGTCTTTTCTTCTTTCGTTTTCGATCGATCGAAGAAACTCGCTGACACCTGGTGAGTCCATTGAGTCAAATTGACTCATTTGACTCGAATCGGAATTCCGATCGCGACTCGATTCGGAAACGGGAATCAGTGACGTTTTCGCTGACGTCATCCCGTGACATCATCGCGTGACGTCATCGTGTGACGTCATCCCGTGACGTCATCCCGTGACGTCATCCCGTGACGTCATCCCGTGACGTCATCAGTGACGTCATCAGTGACGCATCCAAGTATACCCTATAGGTGCGCATCGACGCGCTGGACTCATATCGAAGAACGATAACTTCGTTTGAGCTACGGTTGGAGAGCTACGGCATCTTTTGTCCGCAAGTTTCCAACACAAGTCGTCCATCATGAGCAAGACCAGAGGCAACGGCTCTGGCAGGAGTGGGTCGACGAAGAAGAAGAACAACAATAGCAACAGCAACACGAGGCGGACGACGACAGTGGAGTACAAGTATGCACCCAACTCGTCCGGAAGGCAACAGTATGCGTCCTCCAAGCTGATCAGAGAGAAACTGAAACACGAGTGTGCGGAATACGAATACCCGCAAGACATTCAGTACGAGATTACAGAGTTGAAGACGATTCAACTTGACGAGCCAGAGTTGAAGTACTCCGAGGAGAAGAATGCGGAGAAGAAGGAACTCCAGAACAATGCATACGCAAAGAACTACGACTCCGAGATGAAAGAATGGAGGGCTAGAGTGCGCAAGATTGGTTTCAACCGAACCAGAATGGTGACACTCATTCAGACGAAGTACTGCACACTAGGAATGGTTGACAAACTCAAGTCGGAAGAAGATTTCGAGTCGAAGTTGGACAAGGATCCCGTCGCTTTGCTCCTACGATTGGAGAAGCTGAGCCACGATCCGACTGGTGCAACCTATGCATTCGCTACTTTGACAAAAGCGATATTCAATCTGGTGGCGATCAAGCAGGAAGAACACGAATCAGCCGATACTTTTGGTTACCGCGTTCAAGATACCTTCAACACATTGGCGAAATACCTTGGGCCGCATTGGCTCAACCAATTCATGGATACGCTCCCTGGATTCGACCCTGAGAAGAACTGGACCAGCGAGCAGAAAACAGCGTGGCGCCAGCAAGGTCCGACAATCTTGCAGGCCTACATTATGGTGAACAACGCTTTCCATCCGAAGTACAAGGATTTGAAGACCAATCTCCGTGAGCGTTATACGCGTGGTCAGGACGAATACCCACGGGATTTGGCAAAGGCAGTGAATATTGTCCACACCGCGAAGTTTGCTTCCGACTACAAGGCCAACCGGCAGAGTGGCGGGGGTAGGAGTGATGGATCACCGCCGAAGAACAACGCTTCCAATCAGGGTGGTTCCTCTGGAGGGAGTAGTTTTGCGCAGCAAGCACCGAAGAAGCCAGTGTTTTGTTATTGCTGCGGGGCCCCGGATCATAAGGTGCCGGATTGCCCGAAAAAGAACCAGATTGCGCGGGATGATTGGGCTTCGAACAAGTTCAACAGCTACATGCAGGAGAAGCATGCGGCTCCACCGCAGCAGCAGGCGGCAACGCCAGTGACTCAAAGCGCTCCGATGCGCAGGAGTGAACAGACCAGCAGCCAAAGTTCGCAGCCCTCTTGAGTCAACCAGGTACGAGCTTCCAGGGGATGCAAACAATCACGATTTCGCCGGAAGAATACGAAGCTTTCATGATGTTCAAGTACAACGAACAGCAGAAGTTTCACGGATGTCAGATAGCCGATAAGTTAAGCGGCAGTGACGAGTATTTTGGCTATCACTCAGTCAGGAGTTAGTCGAAGAGGATCGTATTCGTTTTGATGCGGGATCCCAACCCGACAGCGTTAAGCAAGACTGTGGTGCAATGTTCTGCAGTTACCCGAAGGAACAATGTAGCAGTGGATTGCGGATCGACGTTCGCAGCAACCGTGCAGGATGGAAGAATTGCCATAATATTCGGGAATTGGATACACCGATTGGCATAAAACGAACGTTGGAATTTGGAAAGTTCAGTATAGTGGGTGATATACCCGGGTTACCAGAACCGCTGTTATTCACAAGTCGTTCCTGATGAATTGCGTGGGATGGACACACTTGTCCGACACGTTCCCTATGTGGTACGACAACCGCAAAGCAGATATCGTTTACGTGGAAACACCATGGAAGATAGTCGAATTCACAAGACGGAAGAATGGTATGTACATGTATCAGGTATCGAAAGAGTTTCTGACGCCGTTGCGGCAATGCGGAAACAAGAGGATGAAGGAGGACGATCTTACTCCAATTAGTCAAGTCAAGTCGAAGACGGCCCCTGCCGAAACTGCAGTGGGGAAGTCCGTTCCGACTGTTGATGAAAATTTGAAGATGATTCCCCAGCGAGAACGTGCCGGCATGGAGAAAGCTCGCAGCTGTATTTTCGTATGGGAACTCCTACGATTCGTACTCTACGAGAAGCCATCAAGCATAATGTGATTCGGAATTGTCCTGTTACTGAGAAGGATGTTCGGAATATGGTACTCGTGTATGGAGAAGACGTGGGTGCGCTGAAGGAAGGGTTACGCGACAGCGTCTGCCCCAGTGAAAGTTGATTGGGCAGAGATTCCCCGATCGCTAGTGGCCATGCATAAGGAATTGGAATACTGCATGGATTTGATGTTCGTGAACAAGGAAGTGTTCCTAACAGGAATCGACCTGTCTGTACGATACAGGCACTGCATTCACATCGAGAACCGAAGCAAGAAGTCTGTACTTGCGGGTTTCAATGAGATTTTGCGCAGCTATAATGCGGCAGGATTTCGTATCTCGGTGGTTTCCTGCGATGGGGAGTTTGAGAAGATTCTCGATCCTGTCAAAGGTAAAATGCAAATCACGACGAACTACGCGTCTGCGGATGAACATGTGCATGCCGCGGAGCGAAACAACAGAATAATCAAGGAGCGAGTGCGCATTTGCTACGCACGCTTGCCTTTTGAGAGAATGCATCGTGTGATGCTTCGGAACATGGTTACGGAAGGTGCTCATTCGGTGACAATCGTCCCAACCAAGCTTGGTATTTCAGACCATTGAGCCCCTACACCATCATTACAGGCAACATTGATTATGCAAAGAAACTCCAGTTTGGGTTTGTTCTTATGTGAATGTGAATCAAGACGGGACAATACGATGAATCCCCGAACGATTGATGCCATCTATCTCCGCCCTGCTCGGATTTTCAGGTGGGCACGTTGTTATGGACTTGCGCTCAGGACGCGAGATTTCCAGACCACGGGCGTGGCTAGTGCCGATGACTCAGCGCGTAATTGATCGCGTACGAAATGGCAGATCAACAGAAGATCGGGAGCTTAAGTATCAAGCATCGAAGTGATTCTAAGTTCAACGCGAGCCGTTGGCTCGCAGGAGTGGCGGGGAAAACGACGATGACGCGAAGACTGGAACGAATCTGACAATGACTCGGATTCTGACAGTGAATCAAGCTACGAAAGCGATGAAGATGAAGCGAATGGGAAGAATTGGACCAAAATGAGCTAGCGGATCTACTTGCTAGTGGATCGCGTCCAGTCCCAGTCGTTGACAACCAAGATAAACCACCAGCACTATGCCTCGAGCGAACCAAGCATATGACGATGACTCGGATAGCAGTGATGACGAGGAGAGTGACGATGGTGAAGAAGCAAAGCAGTCTGCGATGTCGACGATGGCTGTGGATTCCGAGGATTAGAAAAGTAGGACAAACTCAGCGATTGATGATACCATGGAGGAGATTCGGAATCAGGACGACCAAGCGTAAGACTAGGGTCCTGACAGATGAACCTCCAGCAGCAGCAGTGAAACCACGAGACTATGTTGGCTTCACCTCACTATGGCGGATATAAGAAAGGATTGTCGCCAGAAGGAAGACGCTACAAGAGATCCACAACATCACGGAACCAAGTCCTCGAAGGAAGTGTTCGTAGTATGATGAGTTGAAGGAATGGTTATGGAACAGTACATCAATGAGTTGAACGACCGCTTTCAACAAGGGAAGTATGGTAACAGTTACGGACAGCAATATTTGCTGGACAAAGGATTGAAAGTCTTTGGTGAACGTGGTTACAAGGCCGCTATGAAGGAATTGGCCATTGCATGATCGGTTGCTTTGCTCCTCGTGATCCTGCCACGATGACTGAGGAACAGCGAGAAAAACCCAAGTTGCGCTGATGTTCTGTACGGAGAAGCGTGACGAGTCTGTCAAAGGCAGAATGTTGTTCAATGGGAAACCGACAAGGAAGTACCTTGGCAAGGACGAATTCGAAGAGTCCAACCGTACCTTGAGGGATTGATGTACAGCAGTGGTGAATGCACATGAGGACGTGACGTGATGACTGCGGACGTGCCGAACGCATTTGTGCAAACCGAAATGCCAGTTGATTCAGAACCGGTATTTATGAAGATACAAGGCGCGTTTGGTGGATATGCTTGTGAGTATCGCACCAGACGTGTACAAGCCCTTTGTGATGTTTGAGCGAGGACAGAAAGTTCTCTACACTCAAGTGATGAAGGCAATCTATGGGTTGGTCGCAGCGTTGCTCTGGTACCGCAAATTCCAGGATTTGGAGAGCATCGTTTGTGTTTAATCCCTATGACATGTATTTGCAACCGAATGATTAACGGGAAGCAACACATTGGGATTCCGTTGCGATCTGATGTCAGGTCACGTGGATGCGAAGGACATGCTTTCTTGGAATGGTCCGAGATTACGGGTCTTGGGTGCCGTCAAGGCTACACGAGGCACATTCATGATTACCTCGGTATGACCTAGACTTCTCACAGCCCGGGAAGTTAATCGTGGACATGACCGATTATGTTGGGAAGATGGTTGAGACTTTTCCATCAAGTTTGACCCCGACTGACAGTTTCATCACCAGCGCAGAACTCTTTCCACGACTCAACAGGTGAAAAACTGGACAGAAACGTGCGGAGGAATACACACACATTTACTGCCAAGGGGTTGTTCGTCTGTAAACGAGCACGCCCCGATATTCACCCTACCATCGCCGTGCTTTGCACGAGGGTACAGTCTCCGACTGAAAGCGATTGGGAAGCTTTATTACGTATGCTACATTATTGTGACAGCACGCGTAACGACAAACTTATCCTTTCTGCCGATAATTTGAATGTGATCAAGTGGTACGTTGACGCAGCTTTTGCTGTTCACCCTGACTTCCGTTCCCACACAGGTGCAGTTGCTACTCTTGGACAAGGTGGTATTATTACCATGTCGAAGAAGCAGAAGCTCAATACGAGGAGCAGCACGAAGCAGAGTTGGTTGGTGCGATGATACCGTCCAACAACTGCTGTGGACACGTTTGTTTATGGAGTCTCAGGGTTACCGCATGGATACCGTCCTCAAACAAGACAACAAGTCGACGATCAATTGGAAAACAACGGCAAGGACAGTTCTACAAGTCGTACGCGAGCTTTGAATATTCGTTATTTTTTCCTTACCGACCAGATACAACAGGGTAATCTTGTGGTCGAGTATTGTCCTACGGACAAAATGATAGGAGATTTTATGTCGAAGCCATTGCAGGGAGCCGCCTTCAAGAAATTCCGTGATCAGATTATGGGATATGCTCCTCCATCCGATTTTTAGGGATGGAGGCAGGAGTGTGTTGAGTCATGAGTTAGTATCCGGGACTGAAATTCGAAATCGACTGGACCACCAAAGCGATTCCTCACTTTTCTTTTTAGACTGACTTTAAAATAGCTCACCATGGCCAAACAGTCTCTCTAGTGTTTAATCAACAGGGTTGCCATTGACTCTTTCCGTTTGGAAGAACACTTTTTCGTCGGGTACCGTAAGGCCCCGTGCCAGCTGAGTTCCCTGAGCAGAAATGCAGCGAGTTGGAGTCAACGAAGCTCTTCAATTTCTCAACAAACAAAACAGTAAGCGAGCCAGCAAGCTCACAACGACCCCATGATTGACATATCTGCCAATTTTGCGCGTCATGTCTCATGCAGCTACATCCTTGTTCTTCTAACCAGTCTTGCACTTGCATCCTAACGGTACCTGTACCGGTATCCCTCCATACCCAAAGGTGTCAAGCTGTCGTGCAGGGTTCTTAACCCTGAAAAGCTCCAAGCTCCAATTCTGGGCTAGTGTACCGACAGCTTGCTCGAGACTCCAGACTTGTACATGGATCCATCACAGTTTGATCTGCCTTTTTTAAAAGCAATTCCCCCAATTCCTTGAAGGAAATCGTTCAACCGTGAGCGTGAATGCCAGCATTCACGAATAATGACTCAGATTGACTCATTACCGGTACTGGTCTACGTGGATGCTTGCTGAGTCGAGGGTTGTGGTCACCGTAGGTTAGTATCAATAGAGTACAATTCACACAGTGAATCAACCATGTGCGTACCTCACCGACATGTCACGCTAGACCTGCCTGTACTAAAAGTTCGATAGTGGTGACACTTGCACCGAGACAGCAGAGGTGAACAGAATCACAATTCGAATACTCAACAACCATTGGTTAAATCTCGTAGTATACTTTGTACGTACCTCTCTCGTAGCTACCATTCAGTTTCGAATGAGCCCAATATGCTCACAAAATCGTTGCGATCAAGGCGACAACGTAATCTTCAGAGCTATCTTCAGCATGCCACTTTCTAAAGAAGCTTTCGACAGCTTTGTGTCGCAGAATGGGCACAACTTTCCGTACAACTGTGTGAAAAGGACTCGGAGTTCTTTCATCACCAAATGGGTCTTCTTCAATGGTCGTGGTCGTGGTGATGACGCTCTCTTCAGGCCAACATCGGTCTATGCTTTGCCGGCCTCTTGTGTCAGTCTGAAACAGCTTCAAGAGCTGATCGTTAGCAAAGTTGCCGTTCCTTTTCCACCTGAGCATTGCGAGGTCATGGATTGCATGTTCTGGTGGGGAGCATGCATGGACAATGGATGGTACCAGCAGGTCCTGGGGTTCATTGCGTTTGACTTGAAGCCACGTGGTTACCAGGCAGGAGAATCGACTCGCTCTAGTCTATTCCACTATTGCATTTATATGCTCATGCGAAAGAAAGCTTTTCCGTGTCATAATACAGACGCTTTGTTGGCTCACTGGAACAAGCTCTACTATGATTATATCTATCGGTCCACAGGCAGCTTCTTTTCTGCTGCCACTGAAAGTATTCGTGTCATGGAATATGCCATCATGTGGGGCATAAATGCTCCTTTTCCTACTGCGTCGGATAGTGACAATGAAGGGGGTGAGAGTCTTCCAGATACAGTTGTGTCAGCGGACGAGTGAAGAAACCACGCAGGAACTTACATGTTAAATAATTGCCTCCGAAATAGTGAAATCGCCAAATCAATTGCGGCGATTCTCGTTGTTGCTCTCCGTGTTGATGTACCAGTCGCTGTACCCACTGCCAGAAGAGGGGGCGTATTCGCAGTATGGTCCAACCTTGCCCAATTCGTGGAACTCGAGTCGTTGGAAGCACTTGGAGCACTCCTCACGGCCGCAGTTTCCAGAGCAGTCGTTGCCAAATTGTCGACTCAAATGCGAGTGGTCGCTCTTCGAAAATCCACAGACAACACAATACTTCCTGTTACGAAAGTTCGTTCCCCTAGGATTTAACATGGGGTTTTCCACAATGGTGGCCTTTCGAACTTGTCTGATAACGAACGGAGCAGTAGGGTCTGCAACTCTCCCTCCGACAGAAGCTGCCGTGATATTGTTGTTCAGTGCCAATGGATTTCCAAGAGGGGCATTGCCGCGATCATGGTCAAAACGAAGAGCTTCTCCTGCCATTACGGAAGTCTGGTGCTGGCCCATTTGTCGTTGGGTGACACGAAAAGCCTCCTCGAGTTGCTGCCTCGCGGGATCTTCACCGGCTAAGTTCGCCTGCTGCTGGCACGCCAACACTCGATCATGGTGCTGCTGCAGCTGCAATGCAGATTCGCGTCGGATCATTGGAGGTGGCTCCATTCCACTCCAAATAGCATCCGTCCTCTCCTTGGTGTTCTTTGCCACTTCGATATCCCACCTCTTGGAAAAGCGATAATATCCGCGAGGACCATTCATGTTGTTGCTGTGTCGGTCGTAATTTGGACTGAGAGATTCGAAGAGATCAAACTCAGCCTTGTCGGAAGGGCTGCCTTGTTCCCGGGGATCTCCGAAATCAACCCATGGACTCCCGTTGGTCAATCGAGTGAAGGTCTGCATGCTGGTTTCCTTGGGTCTAATGTGTGGTAGATGCTTAGCAAGTTCCTGTTCAAAAGCGGCGGCGGTCAAAGAGTGCGGCTCTGTATCAATCTCTGGATCTTGTAAGATACGTTCTTCGGCGGCTGCTGCCTCCGGTGTTTGCACAGGCACGTCGTCATCGGCAAAGTCAACGCCAGCCAGGAAATCTTGGAAATCGTTGCGGCCTTCGGCACCTCCATCTGGCACGTCATCTTCAGCTCTTGTGGTGACCTCTTTCAAGCAATCAGGCAACTCGTAGTCATATCCCATGTACTCAATCACTGGAACGCTGGGTGGATAAGACACTTGAAGCGGAAGATCTTTTGGATTAAAACCAGCCGATTTGGCTACCGAATTCATGAAATAGACACGTTCAGAGTGACTTGTGATTGGCATTGGAGCACCCAAACGTTTAACTGCACGGTTGTCATTGGTTTTCTCGTAGTGATCGAACGTAATCCTTTCAGCTCTTGCAATTCCGACAGTCGTAGCTTCTTTGAACAAGCGATTCAACAGACGGTTGTCAGCTTCATTAGTTCCGGTAGAACGGCTGGAAAAAGCTTGCTCGGTGTACGGATTAACTTGGTGGATTTCCATTACCTCCTTGGGTGGGTCAGACAAGCAGCCATGTTCAACATGTTTCATCTGGTTCTTGATTGTTCTCGCAACAAGGGCCCGGTTTGTGCTAAAGAATCGACGTCTTGTGACCACCTGTTCGCCATCTGCTGGATCGGATACCCTTGCCAGATTCGACTCCTCTAAATCCACGAGAGAATCGTTGTGATGCACGTACCGAAGCACTTCTTCTACCCGGCTCTTCAGAATGTCTTTTGGTGGGATAGTTGACTTGGCCTCCTTCATCAACTGTTTCTTGGTTGGTTCACGACCGGTCCTTCTTTGGTAGGCTTCCTTGGCTCGCTCCAGTTCTGAATCTTCCGTAACATAGGTCGCGCGACGCATCAAATAATAGAAAACCTGGGCTTCTGCGGACTTCTTGTCATGGATAATACCTTCCCAGCGCTCATGCCAATGCCAGGAGTCTAACTTAACAAGACAGTCTTCTCCAAAGGTCTCTTGAAGCTTCTTCCGGACATTGCAGCAATTGTCTACCCAGACAATACCAATATTGCAACCAAGGTAATCAAAATGTTCTTTGAGCTTCTCCAAGTCTGGTCCCATGCAATTCGGCCCGAAACCTTCCGTAATGTGGTATGCCTTGAAATAGACACAAAGCCCGTTTTCCTGATGGACGTTCACACTGCACTGAAAAGGAGAAAAACATTCTCCATGACCGGTGTACACCTTCACACATTTTACCATCTTATAGTTGAAGTCAATCTTGAGGGCTCTGGCTCTGATGTTCTGCATTTTGGCCATTTGCAAGGACTTTCTGTTCTGGAAATTGGTACTCACAATGCGATCAATGATTGTCTTGGAGGGAACTTGGGCATTCCATCCTTCAGGATCGTCGATTGCAGAGAAAACAGGTGGTTTGGCTGGCTGTGATGGTGTTGCCAGTGTACCCACAACCAATGTCTCAACCGGCTCGTCTAAGTTCACCACCTCACCATCGTTGATGCTATCTGCCACAACCTGTAAAGCCAGCTCGGTATCCACCTGTTCCAACTTATCGCGAGCATCTTGCTCTTCCCCCTCCAACATTTTGTAGTGGTCTTGGACAATCTCTTTCCACTGGGGCAACACTTCAGGATGTGTGTCAAAATCATTGAATGCAAGTAGTGTTGGAGGAAACATACCTGACACCTCTTTACTATTGACTCGTGTATTAATCATCTAGTCCGGTTCGCATGCAAATTCATCATGCAAGGAACCGAGGGAGTTTTAGGTCTAAAGTGTTACGGGGGTCCTTATATCCAATTCAATCACAAGAATTGCTATGCACCACCAGAAAATCCTCACTTTTGCTTTTCAGCTTAATCTAAAACCAAATTACTCCCCAATAAGCTGCAGTATTACTAGCAAACAACACTGAAAAGCAAAAGGCCATCTCGAGTTACTACTACCGATCTCGAGATCGATATCAAGGTAAACCAAGTCAAAGACATCAAGTTCAATTGACTTGAAGTGAGTTAACACCTGCAACAGAGAAGAGGTGCGCAGAATCAGGCTCTAGCTACACTATAAAGGATACCAAACAGCTCTAACAGGAAAGAGGTGCGTGCGCGGGAAGATTCCCATCTTCATTCTCATTTCGACGTTACGGAAGATCAGCTGTCAGTTTCGGCCGGAACTACAGCAATCCAAGCATACCACGTTGAAGAGAACAAGAAGACACACAAGTTTCGTGCTGGAAGCAAGGAAATCCGGCTGTTATTGCGAGAGTTACAGTCGATTACGTCATCGTGTCATTGCGTGTGATTTTCATCCGTCTCATCATAACGAGCAGAACTCATCGAACGGCGATCAAGATAAGTCGCGACACAGGCGTTGCAAGCAAGAGGTCCTATACATCAATCGATAGAGGACATCTAGCCGCAACTCTGAGTATCAGTGCAAGCTTCTAACTCCAAGAATTGAGTGAGATAGGTTGATTCGAGTGATACAGTGCTACTGTGAAGAGAAGCACAAAAATCACGAGAAAGCTCATAAGTATCCCGGAGACGCAAAACTCCACCGTGCAACTGTTTGAGTCATTATAACTCACTCATTGTACTCATCCAAGCATACCAAGACCATCTGCAAGCTTTGCAGAGGCAACGAAAGGACCAACAGAGGCAGTTCGCTACTACCCAAGGATCCATACCACGTTCTACCGTGAGCTGTCAACGACAGAGGCTATCCAGCCACCAAGAGTGCACACACCAGTGTGAACAAAAGAAGGCTATCCAGCCAACAAGAAGCTTTTACAGGCATCTACAAGAGTAGTGCCCGTCGTGAGATCCTTCCTGCAGGAGTATCCACACCAAAACACAAGCTAGTTCCAAGGAACAAGCAAGCACAAGAGAGTGCATTACCACACCAACGGCAACCATGAGATTCCAAGGAAGAGGTGGTCGTGGTGGAGGAAGATACCCTTCTAGGGGGGGTAGGGGATTCAATTCCTCAGGAAGAAGCCATCAAGGAAGAGGCAACAGCTACAGGAACCAGAA